TTGTTTTTCTTTCGCTGTGACTCCCCCGGCCGGCCAACCTCCAGAAATCCCTCCTGGAGGCCGGGACCTTTTCTGGGCTGCACATGGCAGGGAGCGTGGTAGTTGAGGATTTAAAATATTTTTTTCCTCCAACATCGGGAGTCTTTGGAGATTTCTATCTTGCTTTATAACGGATTTGTTCTACAGAGTTATATTCATGTTATTTTATGGGAAACGTGGCCAGCAGGCCAAGACTCCTGGAAACAACTGGTAGATAAACACCTAGAGAAGTCTCACACACACTCTCACACACACGCACACGCTCACACACAGAGGGTCCTCCTCATCACCAAACGCTGCCCTAAGTGACACACCACAGAGGACACAGCCTAGGTGTGCGTGCGGCCAGGCTTGCTTCATGCTACAGGGAAAGCGTGCAAATGCTATTCTTTCTTGTGTGTACCCATAGGCACACTGACTTAAACATATTTGTGTGGGGGCACACGGGGAACTGTGGGGCTGCATTGCCTACGCAGCTTAGTTTGCAAATTTTGTCTCCAAACCACATTTTTTAAGTTAGAGAGTCAGATACCTAAGCTGCAGGGATTCCAGTCATCAAAAAAGGAAGATGGAGACCAGAAGCAATAGTCCATTGTCCTGGCACTTTTATCTTCCCTTCAGCAGAATCTGTATTGACAAAAACATTTTCTTTGAATTGCATAAGAGCAGTTCCAATGTGGGGGAAAGATACAAGAATTGGCCTCAAATCTCTGACCCCAAATAAGAAATGAATTTGTATTGGAGATGGCAGGAATGCCCTCACTGAAAGTGCAGTGAGGAACGGACTATGTTATCTTTACATAGAAAGACATGCATAGGTGTGGCCCACTGCTCACACAGGTCATCTTCCCCAGTGTCCCACCCCATGCCAACCTGTTAGAAAGCAAATCCCTACCCTTTCTCCTGGGGATGCCAAGTGTGTAAACATTAGGGTGGCCCCAGCCTGAGGTATTGTTGTGGCTGGAGGAGCCTGACCATTTGTGCTGGAGGGGAACGGGCCCAGTTCCACCTCCCCACCCTCGGGGGCAGCTAAGGTGAGGAAGGAAAAGGTTTTTCCTCCTCTTCCCTCCCTCCTTCAAATTTGTATATAAAAAATCCAGCACAGTCTTCTCCCAGAGAGAGAGAGAGAGAGAGAGAGAGGGAGAGAGAGAGCGCGAGTGCGCCTTATCCTCAACCCTACACATTTAACTGCAACAGACGGAGACATCTGGCAGGAGGGCAGTGGAGCCAAGAAAATTCCTATAAATTTAAATTTGATGATGGTTACAATTAACTCCACAACAAACGTGTACTTAAACGGAAAGCATTGCCGGGCATTTGGACGCAGCTTGCTTGGGCTGCACGTGAGAAAGGAGAGCTTTAAGAGAAGCCACGGAATATTCTCAGCTTGAGATGGGGAGGAAGCTACCACCACACTCTGGGCCCCCCGCCCCTGGAGAGGAGGGGGTGGGGTGCAGGCCCAGCAGCCCCGGCCAGCCTCACCTTCCCCGCCTGTCCACACCACCAGGGCTCTGCCCGCGTGCCTCCTCCTCCACCTTGGGAGCACTGAGGGTTTTAAGAGGAGAGAGGCTAATAAAAGGGTCAAATAAAATCATAATATTGAACAGGATGAAATATCTTTATTTGCCACCATAAGAATTTCACAGCAATCCCTCTGGGACAGAAGCAGGGTGGGGATTGCACTTTTACACGCACTCACGCACACGGAGGAGAGAGGTGGGTGATTTGAATCTCATTCCAGGCGAGTCCTCCCCCCTATCGCCTCGGGGTGGAAAGAAACCCTTGCGAAATTTATTTACAAAAATTCAGGCCCCAGTACGGGGGAGGTGCCCAGTCCCATCTCCCTACTGCTTCACCCACACCGATCTTTTTTTCCTTTAAAAAAAAAATAAAGGTGGGAGTGGGGAGGGGGGCAGCAACTGCATGGACTATCGCTATAAACCCATGGGGGTCACGACTTGGAAAAAAGGTTGGGAAACCTCAGTGCACCAGTCCGGACATTTCAAAGGAGGACTCTACACATTCACAGGGAGGACAGCTAGGCTCGGGCGGGGCCTGGGCGCAGACGGAGGTAGGACACGGACTTTGCACACCTAACACCAGGTCGGAAGGTACGGACATTTCACAGCAAGGCAGGATCACATTTAGCTGCCCCCCGGCCGCGGGGCAGGAGGGGTCGGGGCCGGTCGCCCCAGAAGTCTCCCCCGCAGACGCGGCGGCGGCGGCGTGGTAGCAGATCTGTTCACTTGCAAAGGGGGGGAAGCTTTTAGTTCGGCTCAGGCGCCACGGCTCTTGCCCCGCCCCCACCCGGCCCGAGCAGCAGGACCTCGTCGCGAGGTGTGTTTTCTTTTAAATAAAGTCTTGGCCTCGGCGCCCAGGGAGTCCGCTCGCCAAGGGCAGCCGCTTCCCTTCGCCCTCCTCCCAGGCCCGTCCCGGGCGAGAGTCCGGCCGGAGGGGAGGGAGCTCGGAAGGAAGGAAGGAAGGGCCACGGCCCTGGCCACAGTCCAGGTTTCCACCCGCGGAAAGAAGGCGAGTTAGGAAACGAAAACTAAGAAATAAAATAAAATAATCTCCCCCTTTCCCGCTCCCCAGAAAAGGGCCCGGCCTGCGGGTTACAGCAGAGGATTCCCCGAGAAATACTGCAGCCGGTCTCTGCTGAGTTTTTTTTCTTTCATCCTCCGGTTCTGAAACCAGATTTTCACTTGCCGATCTGTCAGGTTCAGCATCCGGGACAGCTGCAGCCGCTTCTCTTTGTTGATGTACACGTTGAAGAAAAACTCGCGCTCCAGCTCCCGGATCTGGAATTTCGAATAGGGGCAGCGCTTCTTGCGGGTGCGAGGGGCGTCTGGAGGGGAGGGGGCAGGTGCGAGGAGAGGGGGAGAGAGACACGTGAGACCCGGGCGACCCCAGCCCACACTGGGCGCCCGGCGGCCCCGCGCCCAGCCCCGCCGCGGGCGCCCTCCCGCCGGGCCGGCCGCCGCGAACCCCTGCCCGGTCCAGCCGGTCCCCAACCCGGGGCGCGCGGGACCCCCGCCCCGCAGGCGAGAGCCTGGGCGGGTGCAGACCAGGGGGAGAAGGCCGCCTGCGGGGCCCAGGACGCCCCTGTCCCCAGCCCCGTCCGCTCAGCCGGCGGCCTCAGCCCTTCCTTCCCCTGTCCTCCCAGGGGTTCGGGGAACGCTCCGTCCTTCCCCCAGAAATTGGGGGGGGGGGGCGCGGAGAAGGAGCGCGCAGAGTGAGAGAGGGAGAGAGCGAGGGAGGCGGGAGGACGCGAGCGAGCAGAGCGAGCAGAGCGAGCGGGCGCCGAGGACTCCCCGGAGCCGCTCCGGGGGCCCTGGCCGCGCCTCCCCGGGCGCCGGGCGGGCGGGCGGGCGGGCGGGCGGGCGCGGAGGCCGCGGGGCGCGGAGAGCCGCGGGGACCCAGGCCCGCAGCCCAGCGGGCCCCGGAGCCGCCTTGCCCCGTCCCTCCGTCGCCGCCGACCCCGAGCGTGACCCTGGGTTCTGCCCAAGGACCCAGGAAAACACAGTTTGAACATTTCAAAATCAGTTTTTTAAAAGAAGCGGAGCAGCCCTTGGCGGGCCCCTTCGGCCCCAGGTTCTGCTCCAGCGCCTTTCTCTCCCACCACTCCCCCTCTCTCGGAGTTTCTCCCTGTCTTCCCCTCTCCCTCCCCTTTCTCCCCCTCCACCCCTCCCCTCCCGCCCACCCCTCCGCAGCCCGGCTCCCCGTCCTTCCCTTAAATGCTCCTCTAAGTTCACGATCAAAGTTAATATTGCCCGCGATGGTGGCGCTTTTAAAAATTTCACAGACAGACGGAGATAACGGGGACGGGGGGGGGGGTGTCCACCCGGCTTTTTCTAAAGCGCCCTTTCCCCTCCCTCCCCACCCTGTCTCCGTCGTAAAAAGTCGAGTCGTTGGGAGAGAGGGCTTTGTAGGTTATAATAAAATCCTTTGAATGCTTATAAAACTCCACATAAAATCAGGCTGACCCAAAACACGAGGCCGGCCCCGTTCCCCTCGCCTTCACCCCCCCTCCTCCCCATGCTCGCCCTCCCGCCCACCCTCCCTCGCCGCCCGCCTGCTTCCCGGCCGCCGCTACCTACTGGGGGCGGCTCCCTTGGCCGGTTCCTTGGCCGCCGAGTGGGTCGAGCCGGACGAGCTGGGGTTCGTGTTCTCCTCCTCGGCCTCGGCCTCGGCCCCCGCCTCCGCCCGGGCCCCCAGTCCCGAGGCCGGGGGCGCCTCGGGCTCCCCCTTGGCCTCGCCCTTGCCGGGGCAGGGGGGCTCGGCGGGCGCGTCCCCGCCGCCGCCGCCGCCGCCGCAGTAGGCGTTGTCGAAGAAGCGGTCGAAGGCCTGGGGCAGGACGCTGTTCTTGTTGACGGAGGAGTAGAAGCCCGCGGGGGCCGCGTGCGGGGCGCTGGGGTGGTGGTGGCCGCCGTAGGAGCCTTCGTTCTTCATGAGGATCTCGGTGACGGTGGAGGGAGGCAGGCACTCGCGGTGCATGAGCTCGTCGGCCGCCGCATAGCAGGAGGAGTAGCTGTTCCGGGGGTGCCACTTGCCGGAGGGCTCCAGGCCGTAGGAGACCTCCCGGACCGGGGGCACTTGGGCGGAGTAGGGGTAGGAGATCTGGCGAGAGGGGGCCTGGGGCAGGAAGGAGGAGACGGTGGAGAACTCGGGCACGTAGTAAGTGCAACTGGGCAGATAGAGGTTGGAGGCGCAGCTCCCTCGCTCCCCGAAATCGGCGCCCCGGTCCTTGCGCGACGGCGAGCAGAAGTTGCCCAGGTTGACCGAGTTAAACATCGTTCTCTTCTCCTGCCGGCTCCGGATGGAGGTTTTGGACCCGGTCGAGCGAGGGGGGAAAATTTGGGAAGGCGAGATGACGCGTTATCCGTCTTAGTCTCTCTCTCCCCGAGCACGTGATCCAAAGTAGATATTGTCATATATCAGTTCGGAGCACTTCGCAGACGTAGGAGGGGTTCTCTCTTAGGTAAGATGGGGACGTTCAGGCGATTGGTTTGCAAACACCGCAGAAACATTATGAAAATCAATTGCAGATTTGTATTCGTTTTCCCTCTCTCGCTCCCCTCCTCTCCATTCCACAGAGCGAGCAAAGGAGGAGAGAGAGGCTTAGGGTGGGGTGGGCGGTGGGATGGGCAGGGGCGGTGGCTGGGAGGGGGTAGATGTATTTTTCCTAGCTGCTGCGCTCTCTTCCCCAGGATTGGGGGAAGGAGGAGGGCTCTCACGGAAGGGGTTCTAGCCTCCTCCCCTGCGTCAGCAGAGACTAGGATGGGGATGAGGACCTCTTTCCCCACCGCCTGATCCCGCCAGAGACGTTAATCCTTCACCCCCAACTCTCAGGGACCGGGAGGGAGCCCGGGAGCCCACCGGCCGGAGAGGGGCCAGCGCCTACTTGGAAGAGTTGGAATAAATCAATCCTTTTTCCCCCGCCGGGGCTGGGTGTCAAGACTACCTTTCCCTTGGGAGAGACTCCTCAGAAGAGTATCTGAAGTTTCTCCAAGGTGAGGCAGCCCAGTAGCAAGCCCACGTTCCAACTTTGTCTGGCTCGCTGCGCTGCGGCAGCTAGGGACTTAGATTAGTCATAAAGGAGTGGAAAGCAGTGCGCCAGCCGCCCAGCCGGTGCCTGGCAAAGTCTGGGAAAAACCTTCTCTAATGTTGTGTTAAATATTTAGTACGAGAGAGTGGCCCTGGGTGAATATTTCATGCCTGACTTTATTGTCAATCAATGCACAGAAAGCTACATCCACGGTGGGTTTTTTTTTTTTAAATCTCAAACCCCAAAGAAAAAGGTTGGAACGAATGCCCTGTATCTTCTCTTTGGGTTGGGGAGCTCAGCCTCAGCTTGGGGAGCTGAAAAGGAGACCCATGTTGGGGTTCCGGAAGGATATGGTTGCAGGACTAGGTCTGGGGCTCTTATCCTTAGATGATTTGGGACTGGGAGGTGGGTGGTGTGGCCAGATGCGGGTCTCCAGACAGACCACAGGGCAGTGGAAGGGAGCTGAGGAGCCTGGGCAGGCAAGGCAGTGTCTAGGGCCACTCCCTGGTGGGGGCTCCCAGCCCTGCTCCCAGGGGCCCATAGCCAGGCCTCAGTGCCGCCTTCCTGTTTCTCAGACCTGCCCTGTCTCCTTCCACCGTGTCTGCCAGCCTTCTGATGGCTGTGGCCCAAGGGGTGGCCTCGTGGGGGGGGGGAGGTTTCTACCCTCCCTTGCCTCCCATCCCTCTGGACACCACAGGACACATTTGGTCAGCTGAAAACCACTTTATTGAAAGGTTCTGGACAGGGTCCAAGGGGCTGGAGCAACTGTCAGGAGCAGAGAGCAACCTTGGATCCAAGGAGGAGCTGTCAGAGCATGATTTGTTCTGGAAAAAGGGGAGGAACCGAAGCCCCCAAAAGACTCAGCTCATTGCAACTCAGGAACAGCCAGGAACGACCCAAATTATCTTCACACCCAAATTTGGATTAAAATTTGTTTCCACTTTTGAAATGTCATTTGGATTTGATTTTTCCTTGCTGAGCAGGATGAGGTACTGAGGCCCCAGAACCAGATGTGGAAGACACAAACACAGTACCTTGTCCCCAAATACAACCCCCCCAAAGTCTATTCCTTCTTACTCCTCCTGCCTTCCCAAATTTGCTCAGTCTTTAAAACAGCAACTGGGGAGGACCTGCCTCCACCGTGGGTCTCTTGGATGGCTCTGGGATACCCAGGGATAAGACTCTGGCACCCTCTGCCCATTCATCCATCGCTGGCCAAAAGGCCCTTCTTTTGTCCTGACTAGATCTTAACTGAAGGCAAAGAGGAACTAGATATGGGGCTTTGCAGAAATGTTGGACTGCTTCATTGGTAAAGGTTTACAAAAAGAAAAATCTGTTGCTTTTCCTCCCTTTTTAAATCCCCTTTCCTAGGGTGACTTCTCTATATGTAAGGGGCTGCAGAAAGAAAAATCTGTTGCTTTTCCTCCTTTTTCTACCCCTTTTATAGGGTGAGCTGGGGCCGGCGTTTTTAATTATAATGATGGGGAACTATGGACTATGGCTTTTATGGGGTTCATACTGACCTCATTAAACCTGAGTTTATAGAAGGCAAAATGTTCCCCAAACAGTGATAGGGACCAGCGAGAGGTTGGTGAGAGACACCACTATTCTTTGCAGAGATGTGAATGAGGGTTCGGCGTCTCAGCTTTGGATTTCCACTTTCTCCCAGGATCCTGCTTTCTTCCCCATCCTGGCCTCCAGGGCAACATGGGGCCCAGGCCCCGAGGCAAATTGTGCACCGCCAGGGCCGGCAGTGGGGAGGGGGTGCGCTTCCTGTGAGGAGACAGCTGTGGGCCTGAGCACTTGAATTTGACCACCAAAGTTTATTCCAGGGCCACCATAAAAGTGAGCCAGCCAGCTGCAAGTTGCTGCTGGCAGCTCTATTTCCTTGAAACAAAAAAGAAAGGCAGAAAAGAATGTCTGAGGAGCTGATGTCCAGGGTCTCCCAACAGAGGTTTCTGAAAATAATATTCTTCCTCCTAAAAGTAAGGTATCAAGTTCCATTTTTTTTTTTCTTCTAGTTTTGGTCTGGACTTAAATTGTCAACAACTTAAAAAAAAAAATCCCAGCAACTGGAGGTTGGTGCTGAAGTCACGGGGAAAAGGCCCTTGCCACGGAGGTCTGCATAGAATTGATTGGCAAAAATGCCCACGATAAGGGCTATGGACCTCGACCTCCCTGCCTGGCCCTACGTCCAAACCGCTCCTAAACATAGACTGAGCTGCCTGCCCTAGGCTGCACCCCAGGGCATCAGTATCCCCAAATCTATTCCCAAGAACCTCGCAATCCCCACTGCCTGGAGTGGAGGTGGCTTTTTCCTTCTCATCTCATAGGTGCCTGTGGCCCCTCCACCATCCTGGGGTTCCGGCTTTCACATGGAATCCTCCTCCTCCCGCAGGGTCATCCTGCCCACCCAGGCCCCTTGATGGCCTCAGTAAGCACTGCCTGCCTGCCCGCTAGCAGGCAGCTGCGGTCTGGGTAGCTGCCCAGGTACGCTGGCCACTGGCCAGGACTATGAACTCCGGCTCGCTTCTTTTCCACACATGGACACCAGAGACAGCTTCAGAAGGGGGCAGTATCTCCCACATTCCCGCCTGGGAGACCCCAGGCAGCATCCTCCCCACGGCCCAGGCTGCCTGGCAGCGTGACCGCCTCCTCCTGCTGTCCGAGCTCTAGAATGGGTTGTGGGAGGGAAAGGGGCCCACCCCACCGACCTTGAACTGGGAGGAAAACCAGGGAGGCCAAAGGGGCTGGTGGAGCTGTGGTGGGCTTGAATTGTAAATTCGGTCCCTGCTGGGTAGAATCAATAAAAAGATAAACAATAAGCACATGGACACTCTCAGCGATTCAGAAGCCGGCTGCCAAGGATGCACCCTCATTAGAAATGGGCTTGCATCTTTTTGCACATATTTCTCTTTCTTAGAGCGATAAGGGCTGTTTAATAATCCTTTAGTATGCTTGGGGATTTTCAGGCCAGCGGTTTATTCTGCACCTCCCACCCCTATATAGGGAACTAGAAGGGGATAGGACCTCTGGTTCTTGGCCCCCCCACCACTCCTCAGCCCTGGCCATCACCCCAAGCCCCAAGCCGCAGGTCAGACCACCTAGACAGACAGATGCTGCTCCTCTGGTCCCTGGACAGGATAAGGGAAGGGGGAAGGGCAGCCTTTCTGCCCCCGAAGCCCCACCCACCTTTCTCAGCGGAGGGATTGTCCCAGGAGGCTAGCAATGCGACCCCATTTCTCCCCATAAAAGTCCCATTTTACGAGCCAGTTTCACGGGCCCCCTCACCAAATGCTCTAAAATGAAGGAAATGTCTTAAAAGCAGTCTGGAAATGGAGCAACTACTTTTGGATCTTGGTGTTCCAAACCCAGTTGCAGCAGCACAGAAAATGCTTTTTTCTTCTTCTTCTTCTGCCCAGGATTGCCCTGCTGGGCCACTGGATGGGGCCCCAGGTGGAGCATCGGAGCGAGGCAGGGTGGTTGGACAGGACACCCACCATTCTCGGACTTTAGCGCCTACTTAGGCTTGGACCCAGTTCTCCAGATCAAAGTGAGCTCTCGGCATGTTTATGAGATCAACTCAGTGGCTCTTTACTTGTAATCAGATGCCTGGGTCGAATATGCAAAAGAGAACAGCCCATCAGTCCAAAAAGGAAAAGGAGAGAGAAAGAGAATTCAGGTGACACATAGCAAGAAGATCCAGTCACCAATTAAAAAAAAAAAAAAAAAAAAAGGCCCTTTGCCTGCAGCAAGAATGGTTTGTGGGTCTGTCCCAGCCTCCAGGTCCTGCCCTCTGCCTGCACATTTCACCCTATTTCCAGGGCCTGGAAGCCAAACTCTGCTGTTTTCTGAAGTTTGATTCAAAAGCTTCCACACAGTGTGGACACGCCACCTGGGGCCAGTGTGACCACCTGCACTCGCTAGCCCCAGTGTGAAGCGGCCTTCTGCTCATGATGGAAAAAATTTTGCTGCTTTCCTCTTTGCAGTCTCGGGGCACGAGGGCCAGAAGTTGAGTTACAGGAAGATTCGCCAGAGATTTATCGCTGGCCCCAAACTTGGAAAGCCTTGTTGTCATAAACAGCCATCTATTGTCTAGACTTTTATCTCTGGGTATGGATCGTGCATTACTGAGGCTCAGGAGACAGGGGCCTGGCGCGGTGGGGTGTGTGTGTGCAGCTCAGTGCTTGCTCCTCCCACCAAGGGCTTCTCCAGCAGGTTTGGGAGCGTGCACAACTTTGTGTGTGCCCGGCAGGCACACCTGAGTGTCCCCGGTGGAGACCCGACATGGGGAAGGCCTCTGTGCCTGGGAACGTTCTGGTGCATGTACTGTGTGCTGGAGGAGGATTTGTCACGGTGTGTTTTGTTTCTAGGGCATTTTAAGTGTTCCTGTCTGGGCTTTTGCGGGTTTTATTAACCTGCATCTGCTTGGCCTGTTTATGTCCCTTAGAAACAGATCATCTGGTGTTTTTCAATCTCGGGGCCCATTGTGTGTGTGTGTGTGTGTGTGTGTGTGTGTGTGTGTGTGTGTGTGTGTTTGCTTCTCTGAGGAAATGGGCTTGGGGATACCTCTCTAATTTTGTTCCCTAAGATTCCTCCACCAGACCCCAACCTCCACCTCCACCAGAGTGTCTGACCCTGCCCCACGCCCTGCAAGTCCCGAAATCTCCCAGGCCGCTACCATTTTCTGTCACAGACCCGAAACATTTTGATCTGAAACACTTTTTGCAGCATGAGGTCTGGTCGCCTCCGTCTTTCCCCACACTATGGGGAAAGGTCCCAGCTCCTAAATGCCCGTATTTCTGGGAGCTCTTCTTCCTTGAGCTGCCGGGCACCTCAGAAAGGGCTTGCCCAGTCCATTTTGACCTTTTAAAACACTCTCTACAGAATCCCAGAGAACACCAAGAAGGGCCTCCTGCTCCCTTGCTCCCTTCCTGGGCTTCCTGGCAGCAAATGTCCAAGCCCTGGCCGCCCTCTCAGCCCCTTGAGCCCTGCAGTCGGAGCTTTTTGCCTGGATTAATGTTTGTGGGCGAGACAATTATCACCTTAGATCTCAGGGTCAGATGCTGCTTTTGAAAGCTGGGATCCTTAACACGAGCAGAAATAATCAAATCCTCCCCTGTGTTTTCCATTATCCGAACATGGGGTGGGCGGGCTCCGCTGACCACCCTCGCTGCTCCCAGCAGTTCCTAGCCTGGGCCTTGGGCCCCAGTCAGATCCCTTAGGCGCCCCCAACTAACGAGGTAAAAGGGAGGGGACGGTTCCCAGAGGCTGGTTTCCAGTTGGGAAGGGTGAAGGCCACAACAACTAGGGGTTTGGGGGGCATCAGACTTCACCAGAAGCCCCCACCATTGCTTCTGAGCATCCCTCCCTTCGCGCCATTAAAAATCCCACTTAAAAAGCGATGTTTAGACTTAAAAGGGGCTCTTGGGGCGGGGAGCGGTGAGAACAAGCTGTGAGGTCCAGGAAAAAGGACACCCCACACCACGTTCCAATTCTTCCTCTCTCCGTCTCCACCTCGGTCTCACCCCTCGTGCACCCTGGAGGGGAAGGATCAAGGGTCCCACTCCAGGCTCCTCTCTCCCAGCGCCTTGGGTGGAGCCTGCCCGCTGCCCACAGCCCAGGCGCTGCTGCCCCTCGCCTCGCCTCTCCTCGCCTCTCGGGAGCTCACTTCCCCTCGGGCGGGCCAGCTGCGGCGGCGTCGCTTTACTGTCTGTCCCCGTCCCCCTCCATCCCCGCCTCTCCCGCACCTCTCAGACCCACAAACATCTCACAGGCTATCTTGCTCCGCACCCAGGGCCTGGGCTGAGCGGGTTCAGCGCCGGGCACCGCTCTGGGCGGGCGCGCCGGGCTCCCACGCGCACGGGGGCAGCCTGCTTTGCCGGCCGCCGGGTGAAAACGCCTTCCTCTCGCTATCCTGCTCCTCGCCCTTTCTTTCAGCCTCTGGTCCTGAGAAATAAATTCACCCAGGTCTCCTGCCTCTCCATCGTCCCCCAGCCCCGCCCCCGCGCTGCCTCACTTCTCCTTACCGAGCGAACCGCCTTGTTTTCGGAAGGAGACCTGAATAGAAATGTAAGCTGTACATGAACTTTTCTTTGTGACGGCTACTTTCCTCTCCAATGCCTACGTCCTGCTCCGCTTCGCGGTTGGAGTGGAGCGGATTTGGAAGTCTGCAGGAGGGGAGAGGGGGGCGTGGAGAGAGACGGAGCCCGGAGCCGCAGACAGAGGCGAGAGGCGCGGCGGACGAGAGAAGTGGAGAGAAAAGAGGCGTCTGGGTGGAGAAAGCAGGGAGAGAGGGAGGGAAGGAGGGAGGGCGGGCGGGAGGGAGGGGGCCCAGCTGGCAGGAGCGGAGCCAGGGAGAGAAAGGGAGAGAAAAGTTTCCCCGCAGTCTTCATTGGCAGACTTCTCCGGGAGCTGCTTCCCTGGCCCGCGGAGCTCACCCCCAATGAAGGAAGGCGGGAGGTCCCCTTTCTTCAGACCCCAAAGAATCCAGTTTTACAAGACCAGAAATGCCATGGCCAAGTCCTGGCAGAAAGAGAGGCTGAAATGGAGGACGGCACCTTCCATATAAGGTACGATGCTAACTTGACCTTCACTTTGTCACTGAGCCCCCGCCCCCGCAGACTCCTGCAGGCAGCCAGGCGGAGCGAGCTTCTGCCTCCTCCTTCCTTCCTTTCTCTTTCCTTTCCTTTTTTCATCTCCCTCCTTCTCCCCCTTCTGTCATTTTCTTCCTTTTTTTCCTACCTTTTCCTTTTTATTTCCTTGCTTCTTTCCCACCCCTTCTACTGTCCCCCTTCTTAATCCCTTTCTTTCACTCATTCATTTCCCTCGTGCTTGCTGGTTTCATGGTTTTCCTTGATTCTCTCTTGCCTAGCTCTTTACTGTAATCTCTTCTTCCTCTCTCTACCACAATCTTTTGTTCTGGTCTTTTGAATCCCAGAAACAAACAAACAAACTATATATATATATATATATATATATATATATATATATATATATATATATATATTCTTTTCCTATCCCCACCCCAAATGATCTCCACAGCTGTAGACTGGCTTCTGCCCCCATCCACATGTCCCTGGGTGGAGGGTCAGGAACGAAGGCCAATTTGGGGTCAAAGGGGCTTCACTCTGGGCCCAGCGACCAGTTGGGGATGACAGTGAACTTCTTTTTGGTAAGACCCTAGTTTCCTCTCACTGGCCTCACCCTAATGGTCCTAATCAGAGAGAGAGCGGAGAGAAAAGGCCTTGATTAGGGATGGAGTGGGGGGGGGGGACGGTTTGGGGAGAGCGAGATCACTGCTCCTGAGACTAAAGAGGAGATTTAAATACCAAATTGTTGTTTGCCCTTCTCTGAGTTCTTAGCCCCTTAAATACTAAAGATTTCTCTTAAGACATCTGGGGATGAAATTTAGAGAATTAGGGATTTCTGGAGATTCACACACACATAAAAATAGGAATGAAAAGGACTATGGGGCCACTCTATCTCACCACTTGCTGTCTCTCCCAGGCTCCAATAGAGCCACTGACATTAACTCTAATCATGTCTTGTGCGGCTATAAAATAAAAGATATTATGGACACCCCTATAATTGTCTGTTATTTGCTTACTTGTGGTAATTACAATAGTAGATGAGACAGGTCTATGCAGAAAAAGTAAAGCCAAGCAAATTCCTCAAAAATGAAACTGTTTCGCTGAGGCCTTCAAACTCTCTTATCCCTTCTTCAGGAGGCTCCAGAATGTCTAAGCTCCTGCCTAAGACCTCTTTGGCTTAGGAGTAGCCATCTTGTCGGGGATAGGGTGATATTGGGCGATCCTACCACCTACTTTTACTCTATATCCCATACACCCCCCTCTTCTGCAAAGATACCACCGAGGAGCAGACAATAAGAGAGGAATGCCTTCTCTCTGTCCCCCTACAATTATCCGGATAATTGATGAATTCTTCTTTGAATGCTGCTGTGTAGCCAGGGCTGGGGTTTCAGCAGGAAGTGCCGGGGAAAGAATTCTAAATGGGGGAAGCGGGGAGAGTCCTGGTTCTTACATTCCCAGACTTTATAGTTGTGTCTAGTGTTACATTGTTTCTTCGGGCAAAGATCTTTGTTCGCCTTCAGTCATATTTCTCCCTCCCCCGCTTTTCTTATTCTCTCCCTACCCCTTATATTGGCCCCTTTAAAGGAGATTCAAATCATCTCCTGCTTTTAATACACGACTATAAAAGTAAAATTAATCCCCCCTTGCCCTTTAATATCAATATCTCTCCGTTAAGTATGCGCATTGGTGAGAATAAACATAATTAAGTGTTGCAACGCAAACCAGCTATTACATCCGAGGTATCCCCCCACTGGGTTTGGCTTATCGAGGGGTGTTCACTCTGCAGCGAGATAACCAGAGGGTGTTTTTATTCTTTTTATAAGCTCCTTGGGTCCCGAGTCAGCACCAACTTGGTAGAAAAAGCAACCATGAAGCCAGAGAGAGAGCCGCAGGAGGCGAGAGAGCGCCAGACCAGCCGGAGAGGAACCTCGGGGAGAAATGCAGAGAAAGGAAACGGCAGAAGGTCCCTGAAGAAACGCGGCCGAGGGCAAGAGAGGCACTCACAGACAGAGGTTTACATATTTTTATTTAAAGGACTTTTTAAACATGGAGGGCTTGAGGAAGAAAAGGGAAAATTCAGGGAAGGAGTGGGGAGCGAGAATTATCCAAGCCACAGCAAGAACGCCCCAGAAGGGAAGAATGGCGCTCGCTCGGCATGGAGCAGCTTCGTGGGTCAGGGCTGTCCTACAGACGGCTGGGCTGGGTCCCCGAGCCCCCACTCCCACCCTCTCCAGGCCACCAGGGCTTCCTGGCTCTCCTTATCATCTTCATCTTTATGACGAAGCTTGTTAACAAGACCAGCAAGCTGGCCGAGCAAATCTATCTCAGCCACTCGGGCTCAGCCAAGCAGCATCCGGTGGGGTGGGGAGGGAGGGGGGGGGGGACTGGCAAGGCACTAATTAATTGATTCCTTTGGACAGTAAAATATGGCCGCGTCTACACAGAACCCATGGACTCATAAACAATATCTCTGCTGGGTGTGAGCACACTGCTTCTCCAAGAATTTTCCATAGGCATGTGTCATGCAGTCCTGGATCTTTAGCTGCTAAAGAAAGACCCACATGGGACTAATTTTTAGGGGGCCACAACAGAGTTAGCTCAGTGCCAGGAAATGCTTTAAGTTACTACTGCCTCTCAAAAAGCATTGAGAGTGGGTTTTGTTGGGGGGAAAAAAAGCTGGGATTATGGGATATAATTTCCCTGCTGTCTTTGTAGACTCCACCAAGGTTAAGGTTGGGAACCGGAGCTGAGGCAGGCGCTGGACAGGCCAGAACCAGACCCTGGGCAGCTGGGAAGGAGTGGGATTGCCCTGGGATTTGACAAGGGCATAGAAGAAGAGGTTCAGTGTTTGCTTCATGATGCTCCCTAGACTTAGATGAAAAGAATTTTAAAATTTAAATGGAAATAACTTCATTTTCAGGAGCCCAGCACATACCTGGAACTGCCTGTTAGCTCAACCTGCCTGTTACATACTTCTCTGGTTGCTGCATTTTCTCTTCCCCCTTTCCTACCTGGCAGCCCAGAGGAACTTTATAATATGTTTATATTAGGTCCAGGAGAACACGTCCTGAGGCACAGGGGATAACCTAATTACATAATGCTAATTCCATACACCAGTGATTATGCAGCCAGACCCTGTGCAAACAGGGCTTAGCACTCTAAATATAGACCCTGACTTCAGACAAGAGAGGCAACAGGGAGTCAGGGCGAGGAGACCACTTATATAAATAATGCATGTAGATATCGAAGGGTTTTTCAAGTACAGCAAAGAGGCTAACCCATGGAGATGGTCATTGCCAACGCCTGATCTTCCTCCCACTACTGTTTTAAAGATTGCCTGAGAAGTGTATATTATAAATACGATGTGTGAACCCAAAGAATGCTTTTCAACTTATATTTGGTACACACCATGTATGCAAACATAATTTACAGAATATATTTTTTTTCATACACTGGGTAGATATGCACTTTGTGTGTCTATAATAATAGGATGTATTTTAATGCAGTTTTATGTGGATATATTACTATCTGGATGTATTTTCTGGGCACTGATTTTCTATGCTCTATGTAGTGAAATAGATGCAGGACTGTAATTCCCTTTGTAGAATATGTGGAAGCGTGCTGTTTGTAAATTAATTTTACGTGTGGTGGATGTACATGCTTTATGTAATCTTTTTCTGGGAGATTGCTTTAACCATACAATAGCTGGAATTGCCTCTGTATGTATATTTTCTAGAGAAATGTATTTTCCATTCCCAGAATGTATATGTAATATAGATTGTAATCTATGCATTTTAGAAGGTTTCGATGTATTCATATTTGCGTGCATTTTATGGAACATCTTTTCCCCGCCGGTGGTGAGTCCCATCCACACAGACCTGTCTTTGAAAGACGCTCTCTACACTGGCTCAGGGAAACTGGTCAAGTGGAGGATGGTCTCCACGTAGCCAGGAAGTGGCTCCGACTCAGGGAGGAGAAAACACTCACAAACAACCGGCTGGTCACCCTGGGCGAGACCAAGCCCAGTTCCTTGGCTCCCTGGCCAGGCTCCTTGGGGCAGGAGCCTGGGGGCAGCGCCGCTGGGGGTGAGAGGCGCGGAGGGAGGGCGGCCGCGTGCCCGGCGGAGGGAAGGCGCTTAGGAAAAAGGCCTGGCTCCCAGAGCCCCGCAGCGCCTCGGACCCGGGCTGTTCTTCGAGGGCTCCCACAAACTCGCGGGGCGCCCTCCAGGCCCGGGGTGCTCAGGGACCAGCGGATGAGCCGGCCCCGGCTCCGCAGCCTCCGCGGCTCCGGCCAGCAGGGGTCAGCCCACCCCTCCCGGGCCCCGCGGGCCTCGGGCGGCGAGCGCAGCGGCCGGGCTGAGCGGCGGGGAGCTCCGCGGGTCCCCGGGGCTGGGGAGCGCGGCCGCTCTCCTCGCCTCGGGCCGCAGGAGCGGACCGGAGCCTGGGCCGGGCCGGGCGGGAAATTGGACCGGAGCCCCAGCCACCCGGCCGGCCACGGTTGGGAGAGGGCGGTCCAGCTGCCCGCGTCATCCTTGGCGGCCGGGGCGCTTTGTCTTGGGGGCCGCTTCCCCGCGCGGGGAGCGCGACGCCGCCAGCAGTTTGCGGGGCGTCCAGGGGGCGCGGGCACCGGCCGCACACTTCGCGGCGGAAAACCGGCAACTCGGTCTCCGCAGAGACAGACACGGAAGGGCAGCAGCTCCGACCTCCAGGCCCGGGATCCACGCGGCTCCGGGATCCGGGGCCTGCAGCCACCTCGAGTCGAATTACACCGGCATCTCCGGCGCCTCCATGTGCCCGCCTCGCAGAGAGGCTCCGGAGCTCCCTAGTGTGTTTCCCGCGCGGCCCGGGGCCCCGAGAACCGCTCCTGCTTTCCCGGTAATGGCGGGGAGGATGGGCAGAGGCTCCGGGCTGTCCGGAACCTGAATCCCCGGGGTTTGCTTTGTTCGCAGAGCGAGGCTGGCTGTCCCCTCTCTGCGCTGGATCAGAGCCATCCACCGCGCCGGCTGCATTAGTCTCCACAGAACCCGGCTGCCCGACCACCTCTCGTCCGCTGCACAGTGGCTTTTAATGCCCTAGCTGCCTTTGTGCAGATCAGAGTGGAGGAGAACTGAGTGGATGATCAGGGCCAAACACACAAGTTATTTGGCTCATATTTGTATATGAGCTTGCAAACACACAGCAGCAGGATTAGTTTCTATCTGGATTATCCAGATAACTCTCCCCATTTCTTGCTCCGGAAGACCCAGTGGAGACCAGGATGCTTTGTCTGAAAGCCGGTGGAGTCAATTGTAGTTTGAGGCCTTGAACCAGACAAATAGTTGCAAAGTAGATGCAATCTTTGCCCAGATCAAGAGCTCCAGCGGTGTGCCCTAAATATTTGAGTTGTGTCTCAACCATGACCTTCTCTTTGGCCAGGAGACCCAAGGACTTGTTTTTCAGCCATTGGGAGGAGATTATGGTGTCTTTCCTTCACTGACACTCCCCCAGTTACTGCGTGGGGGTGGGTGCTGCGTAGAAACCACCCAACAGGACCTATTCTCTCTCAGATCTTCAGTATCTCAGAATAAGTCGAGGGAATAAATTAAGGGCCAGTTATTCCCGGCCTCCCTAACTTCATTTCTTCCTTTTTAGCCAGAAATGTTTTCACTGTTAACTTTCTGTATGGATGTGTCCCTGGGTTCATGGGGATTCAGATCCTCCTCCCCCCTTTATGCAGATCCAGGCACAGCCACCCAGTCCCTCCCCCAGCTCATGGCTGCCAGACGCTATCTTGTTCCCAGCCTTGCCCCCACTCTGTAGGGCCTTTGTGTGAGTACCCTCAAAGCTTGGGATCATCTTCTTCCTGCCTGAACCCCTCAGCTATCTATACAAGACAGCTGGGATTAGGGGCAAAGGGAAATGAGGTTTGGTTTAAATTTACCAGTTTTACTAGTTGCAGGAGAAAGGAAAGGAAGAGCGACAAAGTTTTCAGGGCGGAAGGCGTGGTTTGCAGGCTGAGCTAGGGTGGGGACCTCAGCTATTCCGGAGAGGGCCCAGCAGGGTGGAGGGGAATTTGGAGGAGACTATCATTGGAGCCAGGCTGCGAAAATAAGAAACTCAGGGACCAGAGGCTCAGGGGCAGAGGCATAGGGAGGCCGTTGCACCTACAAGGAAGGGGGGAGGTGGAGTTGCAAAGGGCTCATGCACTCAGCTGGAACCCGGATTCTGACCATGGCCCAGAGAAGGTTACTGGCTGAGAGAAAAGGAGCCAATTTCTCCAGCTTCAAGTGGTCTTTAGTCCCTGCCCGATCTTCTTGCAGTGCACAGATATGTTCCCAGAGCAAAGCCATGGAGTCAGGGCCTTGGGGTTGAAGTGTGGACCCACCAAACCCTGCCCGTATCCCACTCTCATCATCCCAGCTCCAGCCTGCTTGCACCCCTGCCCTGGCTTTGCTTCGTGGAGATCCTGTAGCTCAGACTTTCTTTTCCCAGCCCTGCAGATAAGTAATCTCAGCCTCCTCCAAGCTGCTCACATTATTTTTACAGCCCAGGACTTCTCAGATATTCCTCTCCTCCTCCCCAGTCTATGCCCCCCCCCCAATTTTTTCTCTCCGCTAGTAATTGCTTAGGAGTGGATATGGAAGCTCATCAACAGATCTTGATTGCTCATATATTTTTGTTGCCCCTGAAACTGCTCTTCCTTTATTATTATAATTATTCTTTTTATTATTCACCTGAGCTGGAGAAAATAAAGTGGAAGACAGCTCGGAGGCTGAGGATCCCATTCTCCCTAAACAGAGGAGACAATGTGTGGGGAACCAGTTTAATTTTTTTTTTCTAAAAAACAAACAAAACAAAAACACATCACCATACAGTTATGTTTTAATTAGTATTATTAATATTAATATGATGAAGAAACTCTGTACAAGGACTATATAAAGGGGAAAACGTGCTAAAGACAGCTGTTTGAATAGGAGGGCGCACTACAGAGAGCTGGGGAGGGAGAGAAGAGAGGTTGTCTACCCACAGGGACTGCACAAGGTACTATCAACAGACACAGAGAACAGGACACAGATTGACAGAGTTCACAGAAGTCAATTTTAAAGCGACAGGAAGAGAATATTGCATATCTTTCTCCTTCCACCCTTTGAGAGTCTTCTGGTCTCTCTTCTGTATTGGGCAGTGGGAGTCAGGCTGGGGTGATGCAGATGGATTCCAGCACCCCAGGGCCCTTGAGGTCACAGGAGGGGCTGCACGAAGAGGTACATGGGTGACCAGGCAAAGGGGAGAGTGCCTCAGACCCAGCAGCAGCAGACAGCTGCAAACTCACATATAAGGGGAACAAGTTCATGTGGCTGGGAAAGTGTGTCAGGTGCCCAGCGGAGGATGGGAGCATGTGATTATATGGCCACTCTACAGGGTTTTATCTGGGGACATGAGGCTGCCTGCTTGCAAGTACAGTCAGGAGAGTGGGTTGCGCCCACCGGTGTGCTGGGCTCAGCTGTCCCTATGAGTTTGCCTCCGCAGGGTCCTGTATAGAGCTGTGTGCTGGTGGGAGAATGGGAGGGGGACACTCTGTGGATTGCCTTTGGAGGGTGTATTAGGAGAGACGCTCCCCAGGCAGGAAGAACTCCCAGCGAGCAGGCCAGTTCCACTCTTCCCAAGCTGAGTTGAACTCCCGTCAGTCCCTTGCTCCTGGCAAGGGTAGGGCAGCAGATGGGAGGATGGGGGACTCTTACTCAGAGGGAAATGGAATATGGAAAGGCAGGCAAGTTCCTTCACTGCTTCTGTCTCCTAAGCCAGGCTAGCATCTCTGGGGCTGGGCCTGGGGCCAGGGCTGGGGGTGGGCTGGGCCTGATAGGGGCTGTGAATAGAAGGCCCTCCGCTGGAGAAGCCACTCTCTGACCTCCAACAGGTTCTGGAGATGTGCTCCTCCCTCTGCCCTGGTCCCTGTATACCAGGCCATGGGTCCTGAGACAAAGGGCCAAGTTGGGGAGAGGGTGGAGTGGGAGACAGAAACTAGTTGGGTGGGGGGCTGCAGTGCCTCCTCCTTCATTGTCACCAGCCTGGGAAACCTGGGCTGAGCTGGGCCACTACAGCCAGTAGCCCCTCTAGGGGCGGATTCTCCTCCTGCCTCATAAATTATGCCAGTCCAGCCTCTAGCCGGCCGTGACCATGAACGCCAGCGGGAAAGGAGGAATTAGCGGTGGCAGCCAGAAATTCTTCCACCCGCCAATCAAAGCCGTGCTCCAAGCCCCTTTCACAGCCTCGTGGGTTCCCCCGGAGGGCCAGGTGGGGGCCCCTAGAGTGACTATGGAATCTGAGGCTGCGTCTGCTTAGCCCTCAGTTCCTGGCTTGTGGTTCTGGTCTGCAGCCACCGAGGGGGCAGGAAGAGAGGATGGCAGCACACCCGTGAGCGAACAGGCTGGCAGGCTTGGGAGAGGGCTGGGGACCGGGAGACGCTCAGACAGCCTGCCCTAGAGAGGACATAAGGTTGTGATCTCCTGTCTGCAGCCAGGTCTGCCAACCGTTCATGCTTCTGCCTGCGCTGCTGTCCAGGCCTGGAGGACCCAGACACCCTGGACATGGGTATTGCTGACCATTCTGTCCTTCCAAACCGCACTTCCTCCTGGATCTCCCCACTTCCTCCTGCCCTCCCAGAGCCGCCCTGTCCCCCTCTACTCTCTCTAACGACCTCTACTCTTGCTCCCTCCTGTCAGCGGCTCCTAATCCCAACAGCGAGTTCTGGGAGACTGTTCCACTGTCCCTACCCTCGCTCACTCCTGCAGGCGGACAAGATCACAGAGGGAAAGTGGTGGGAGCAGGGTCCTCAGCCTCAGGCTGCCTCAAACCAACCCTTCCCCGATGCCTCCGCTTGCCCTGTCTGTCCCTGGCCTGAGCTGTGGCTTTCTGTCTCCCTGGCCGGGCTCTTCCCTTCTCTCTGGGGCCTGGCAGGACCTGCTGGGGGTGTGTGAGAGGGGAACACGAAGAAAACAGACAAGAGGACGTCCAGAGAGGGCCTGCCAGAGACTTCTGGCCTTCTAAGCGGGGAGCCTGTGTCCCAGGCAGCGCCCCCTCTTGCTCTCCGCCAGAGACGGGCTCAGTCTGGGGCTGGCTCCCTTGTCTTGGCCCCCCTAAAAGAAAGAGAGAGCTTGCTCCCTCAACAGAAGTCTCTTCTTTTTCATCCTCCGGTTCTGAAACCAGATCTTGACCTGCTGGTCACTAAGATTCAAGCGGTCTGAGAGTTCCCTCCGGCGCTGCCGCGTGATGAACTCGTTCACGAGAAACTCGCCCTCCAGCTCCGCCAGCTGCAGCTTCGAGTAGGGCTTGCGCTTCTTCCGCGAGCGGCTGTGGATCGGGTACCAGGGCGTGCCTGGGTGGAGACGAACCGGGGAACGGGGGTTGGCCAGGAGACCGAGAGGGGACAGGCTCGGAGCCCTTGCTCCTTCCCTAGTCCTCGTCACCTTGGCCTCATGCCCGCCCCAAGCCCTTCCTCTCCTGGCGCCTCTCTTCTCTGCAGAGCCCACCCCTACCAACTCCCACCCCTCGCCATTCTCCTTCTCCTCTTTCACTTCTTTTCCTCTTTCACTTCTTTTCCTCTTTCACTTCTTTTCCTCTTTCACTTCTTTTCCTCTTTCACTTCTTTTCCTTGCTTTGCCAACTCTATCTGCCACTGCAGTGTCCCTGACCCTTCTATGTTCCTCTTCCCCCCTTCTTCCCAAACCTCTTCTCCGGGATATGCTGGTCCCTTCCTCTCACATCTTCCGGGATGGGGTCCCTGATCAGTTAGAACAGACACGAGCGAGTGGCGAGAGTTAAACTATCCACTGGCGAAAACATGCCGGTAACGGAGGCTGTGGGGGGCTCAGGAGGAGCAGGGACCCAGCTCTGGGCCCCACCTTCCCACCCCTCAAGCCTGGGGAAGCCTCGGTCAAGAATTTCCCTCCTCCCGAGCTCCCTGCCCCCTCCAGCCGGGGGCTAAAGTAGAAGGGAATCTCTTCAGCTCTTTTATGGGGATATTTACATGTTTATAGGTCTCCCCAACCCCCACTTCTTTTTAAAAAGAAGCGCTTCCTCACCACACATTCTGTCACCCCAGGCGGCCCTGGCTCGGCCCGACCCCGCCCGCCCCGTCAGACGTCCCGCCCCAGTGCGTCTCCGGAGCGGGCCGGGGTGCTTACCGCTGGCCGCGAGCCCGCCGCCGGGGTTTAGGGGTGACACCAAGCCGCCGGGGTCGCCCGCGCCGGCGCCCTTGTTGCCCTCGTTGAGCAGGGACGAGCTGGAGTCGGATTCCAGGGACTGGCACGAGGGCGGGTCGTGCGGGGGTCCGGCACCGCCGTCGCCGCCGCCGCCACCGCCGGCCGCGTAGTCGTACTTGAACCCGAGCGCGGGCGGCCCCGCCGGCTCCAGCGGCAGGAGCGCGGCCCCGGGTCCCACGCCCGGGCCCGGGTCGCGCCCGCGCTCCTCCCGCTTCAGGCCGCCGCCCTCGGCGCACGGCTCGCGGTAGTAGCCCTTGCTGTCCTCAACGCGCGCCAGCTCGCACGTGCGGCCGAAGGGCGGGTTGAGCGACACGGGGCTGCCGAGGTAGGGCTGCGGGTAGCCATTGCACGGCTCCGCCGACGGCCAGGGCAGCGAGCACACGTTGTCGCGGCGCGGGTAGGACAGCGAAGGCAGCCCGGGCAGCTGCGCGCCGGACGCGCGGAAATTGGGGAAGTAGAAGGTGTCTCCCGTGTGGATGTTCACCAGCGGCCCCACAAACCCGGGATTCAGGAGATTATGCTCTCCCATTTCCGCGGGGCCCGACCGGCGGCTTCTACTTTATTGCTATCTGACATTAAACATAGTTAAACCTGCACCGGCCACCCATTGGCCGTCCAGCTCACGTGGGCACCGCCGCCAGAGGGATGGGTGGGGACAGCGGATCCCCCCCACCCCACCCCGCACCAATTCCAACGTCCCCCTTCCCCAATTGGGGGGGGGTGGCGAAACGCGGGGACAGATTTATTCGCTGGCTTCTAGTTTTTTAAAGATATCCTATAAAACCTAACGCAGAGAGTGAGGCAATCGCCGGACGCGGGGCGAGGGGGAAACAGCCACGCCAAAAAATGCCCGCACATCCACACCACTGCACCCCGCACCCCCCCCCCCCCAGATGTATTCTCTTCTCACCAACAGCTGGCCCGGCACAGCCCGGCCCTCTTTAATTAGCTCCTTTATTAACTAAAACCGTTGGAATTTACAATATCTCCCCAATAAATTACTATTAGATATTGTGTCATATAAAGTTTACTGGCTGTTTAAGGAGACGGATGAGCCCTTTGGCTCGGGGTTTATTTACAGTAGCGGCGAGTGGGGGCAAAGGCAGGTTTTCCTGCCGCTGTCTCTCCCAGCCCTTGGCTGCTGAGCTTTTCTTCTTCAGCTCGTTCTCCTCGGGAATTTGGGGCTCTTTCCTCAAGGAAGGACTCAGGGAGAATTATTAATGTAGGGTCTCCCCCCCAAGCTGGGAGCCACCCTAGCCCTGCATTTCTGCTCAGCTTGTAGAGAAAGATGCGGGGGAGGCAGGAAAAGAAGGCGCCAGCTCGGTGTGTACCTGCCTACCTGCTCTTGGGAATCTGGGGGCTTGGGCTGCTCTTTTCTGTGATTCTGCGGGTCACAGGGGCTTCTGGGGGAATCTCCCAGATTCTGTGCAGCAAGAATCTCTGGGCCCCTAGCAGAGCTTTGTTGGCCTGGGAAGCTCTTCCCACTGTGAGAAGACATTGGCACCCCAAAACTGGCCCACCCTCCCCTCGGGATCCTCAGATAGCGGTGCTGAGGCCACTGGGTGTGCTGGGAGCGAGGGAAAGGACTCCAGAGAGCCATCCTGTTGGGTTATGTTTATGGTGCGAGCCTCAGCAGCTCCTTCCGGGAAAGGCTGAGTACCCAACGCTGGCCATTGGTGAGCCTCATCAACGAAGGGAAATCACAAACCCTTTTCAACTAAGTCCGCAGCACACAGCCCAGTGGATTAAAAAGAAGAATAAGAAACCCAACACACACACACACACACACACACACACACACCAAAAACCTTCAGAAGTGGGTGCATTCTATCAGAGCCTCCCTCGTAGACAAATAGTCGAATTTCTATGTGATTATTACAGGCTCCTATCCAATGCCCAGCTCTAGTAATACGAGGTGAGATAAATAGTTCAGGAAACATCTAAATATGAGAAAACACCAAAAGATTTAGAGAAAACTAGAGACTAAGAGACTCGGAGAGAATATGGGAGAGGAAAAAAAAAACACCCCATGGAGGTGAAAGTTAAATGTCTGAGCAAAAGCCAAAGCAGACCGACCGAAGCAAAAGAATACCATCTCCCTCTTTTTCTCTCTCTCTTCTCTGCACGACGCAGCGAGAGAAACGCAGATTCTTAGAATTCCACAGCTCCGGGCGATTTCATATCCCAAACCATAGCTGCTCACTCCCACAGAAATGCGTCCGTGCAGGCGTCGCCCAGCCGGCTCACCGGCCGCAGTTAGAAGCTCCGCGTCTGCACCTTCCCCGCCCTAACCCGCCAGGCTGCCTCGCCAGCCACCCCTCCCCCACCAACCCCACCCCCACCCAGGAGCCTTTGGGGGCCCAACTTGCCTAACCGAGACCAAGCAGTAGGATGCCAGCCTGGCGCAGTCACCTCCAGTCAGAACCGCAGGAACCGGGTGCCAAACAGAGGGCAAGAGACCCGCCTGGACTGGGCTTGCTGTGCCCAAGACTGATTAAAGGGCCGCGGCGGCAGAGAGGAGCATCCCTCAGCTGCACATCCCACGTCACAGCACCCCCAACGTATTATTTATGCCTCCTTCTCAGGATGCATTAATGAGCGCCACTGAAATTGTAATTTTTTAAAAATAATTTATCTGGGGGTTATTTTGGTCATAAAACGAAACAAGGTGTGACTTTAATATTGTCGCGGTTTTCAATCAGAACCTTCGGCGGGCGGCGAGGTCTGCAGGCCTGGGCTCACAGCCGCTATTGTTGGGGGGAGAAATGGCGAGCTGAGCTTTGCGGAATAATCTCCAGTTCCTGTGAGGCTTCTCCCCCTTCTCTTTTCCCTCCCAGAGGTTCGCAGTCTCCTGGAAGGCGGACCTCGGGAGGAAGATCTCAGCCTTCCCCTAGTCCTCCTGAGCTTGGAAATATCGGGCCTAGGAGCCTAGACCTCTGCTCGCTGGCCTCGGGCCGGCCGCCCAGCACACAGAGCTGTGGCCACAGGGCGGCAGATGCCACGCCAGGGAAATGAGGATGGAATGGAGGCTTCCTTCATTCGCAGTTTCTGTCAGACTGATTTGACACCATCAAAAAGCCATTTTCCCAGGTTTTGGACTCTGTGGGCACTGGCACATGCTTAAACCCCTTTTCTTCCGAGCTTCGGACCCCTAGTCCTCTCAGGGAGAGCTACCAAAAATCATCATAAAAATTCGCACCTCCATTGTCCTGTTCTGGGGACTCAGAGTGAACCTAGGGGTTTGCAGGGTCGCAGCGAGGACCCAGGCAACAGAAAGCGCTCAGCCTCCCTTTGCACGGAGCGCGGTTCAGTTCGCCTGTGGGACCCCGCCGCACGCAGCTCGGCGCCCCTTCCCTGACCACCCTCAGACAGACAGCCCCCGGAGCGCCGCTCTCAGCCTGGGTCCCCGGGGCCGGCGGGAGGCTCGGGTGCGAGGCTTCACATCAAACCTAAATCCGTATAAAGCTGCTAGCCCCGAGCCCACTGGGGCTGGGTACGGATGCTGGGAAGGACTTCCAGCCTAAAGCGCTGGACAGCCGCGTCTAGACCGCGGGTTTAACCCGCTCGCACTTCGCAGCCGCCAGCGAAACTACCGTTGGCCAAGCTCCGGAACCGCGGGGCGATCTGAACGTCCACTCTCCGGCACATTCATCAAACCACAGGGTGAGAGGAGACGACCTGCTTGCCAGCGTCTGAGCCGCGGGTTCCGGCTGCAGCTGGTCTTGGCTCAACCGTGCCCCTCTCATTAACTCAGGGGTTAATTAAAACCGAAGGCCGGGATGTGGTCCAAGGCTTTCCGTCAAGACCCGCGGCAGCCCTCGTGCTTCCGCGCATCCACCGGCTCCTCTCCCGCGCCTCCCCTGTCCGAGCCTCCTCGGTCTGAGCCTCCGTCCCTCCCGCATCTCCTAGGCCTTCTCGCGGGGCCTCGAGTCGCTGCCGCCGCTGAGCCAGGAGAAAGGGGTTAATGACGAAATCTACGCTGTTCTGGTGGCAGGTCAGAGCGGCCGCGTAGGCCACCGCGGAGCAGCTGTGTTTGGGCTTCCGGGGTCGGAGTGATTCAGCGCTGCGGTGCCCTCCACTCCCCTGTCAGGGGCGAGGCCGCGACGGCCCGGTTCAAGGTCACTGTCTAGTTTGCGGAAAGCGGCTCGGCCGCATATGCAAATGAGGCAGGACTCGGGGCCAGGAAAGAGAGAGGAGTAGGGACTGAGCAGGCAGGGAGAGGGGAGATGAAAAGCTGAAAAGCGGCGAATGTGGAAGGCTTGGGCCCCGACCCCTCAATCCTCGCTGTTTCACCCCTTTAGGGCAGTTGGGTTTGCAACAGGATCTTGGTCGGGTTCAGACTAGATGAGGTCAAGGAAGGGGGCTCAGTCTCCTGTTTTTGCTTCACTCGCTCCTTCAGAGGTCGGAGCCCTCTTGGTTCCCCGGTCTTCCTCTGGGAGCCCGGGACTTAAAAAATAAATTTGGGAGGCCCCTTCTCTAGGTATTGCCTTCTAAGGACCTACAGCCTGGAGGTGGGGGCTTTAGAGAAACCCTGGGTGAGGGGGCCAGTCAGGTTTTTAGGCTCAAGCAGCCTGGGATCAGCAGCGTCCTTCTATCCTCCGATCCTGCGGCTCCTCTGAGCTCCCTCCCACCGCAAAACCCCAGCCCGGTGGCCGCTCAGGAAACGGGGAAGGGGTGGGGAGTACCGGCGGGGACATCTGGGGAGCCATCTCTCCACCTTTCACCTGAGCATCCCTAAACGAGCCATTTTTCCCCATTCTCTGTCTCTCCAGCGCGCTAATAGTTAAATGGTTGCGTGGCTCTGACATTTTCCACCTCCGCCAGCAGAGGATCTCCTCCGCCTAGTGAATTACTACTGAGTGTCAAGAAAGGTGTGGGACCGAGTTAAAAAGCACACAACAAAACACCTCCACCAAACGCCACACCCACAGCCGCCTGCCAGGGGGCCCGTTCTCCGCAAACCTCGGAGCTCCATGTGGGGTGAGGACTGCCCCCGGAGCCCCCTTCCCCCCAGCCAGCGGCTGGCTGTGACCCGCTCCGTCCAGGCCTCGCTCTGGGAAGCGGCTGAGCTCTGCCTGGGGTCTGTTCTGCCCAGCGACCCAAACGCTTCCCAAAGCCAAGCCCCCCGCGCGGGGTGGGCAGCGCGGGCGGACTGGAGTAGGGGCAGCCGGGCCAGGAGATTGATGGTGGTGGGAGGACGAACCGTTAACCCCGAGGGTGGCTGGGCCGGAAGAGCGGGGTCCACTTACCTTTGGAGATGGAAGAGGTTCGGAAGGGTGCGGGGCGGGGGGGTTCTCAGCCTCTAGACACCCTCTCCCCCTTCCCCAAGACCCGCCGCGGGCCTAGCCGAGGTATCGGAGGAGGGCGGGGCGGAGGAGGCGGAGGGAGCGGCCGGCGGTAGGCGCGCGGGAGCTGAGCTGCAGAGCATCTCTGGGGAGGCCGCCTTTTATGGTCGTTATTAGCGCCCCTGTCTAGACTGAAGACGACACCTCCTCTGTGTGTAAACAGAGGCGGCGGGCTCCGGCGGGAAGGGGGATGGCGCGTCGAGGGGGCTCGCGGCCCTCCCCTTCTCCGGCCACCGGAAGATCAAGGCCTTTCCCCACTCCCCCCTCACATGTGCTCCTTGCGATGTTCAAGGTCAGAAAGACCTAGTCACGGTCAAGGCTAAAAGAGGAAGAGCCTGGTTGGTTGGTTGTGAAAGGCTCTGGCCCCCTCCTCCCAGAAGCTCCTCGCTCCCCATGGCCCCTCAATCCTCCACCGATGCAGGTCTGAATACACATCGGATCCAGCAGTGGGAGCTTTTTGAGGGGTGGGCTCTCGCCAGCAGCCTGGGACCAGCCCCGTCCTTACCGAGGTCATCTGAGCCGGACCCGGGTGGATTCCAGTGTGGGGAGTTCTCTCTTGAACAGAGGGGCTGCCGCAGTGCCCCCAGCTCCAATCCTCTGAGCCATGGAGAATGTCAGAGGGCTGTCCCTGCTCTACTCCCGAACTGCTGACCCAGGTGTCTGTGGATCAGCCTCAGGAGCAGATGGTCTAGAGACAGCGGTGGAGGAATCTCCCGAGAGCTGCTGGCCTCACTCCCTCAGGTGGGTTCTTGGCTGTGGGACTCAGGCTGAAAGGCCCAGTCTGCTGGCCCTAGGTCTGGGGATGCAGATGTGGGTGGGGAAGGATATAACTGAGCCCTCCCCGGCAGCCTGGTAGCGTGGCCTCCAGATGGAGAGTCCTGTTAGGCTGTAGCCCACCCCTATCCAGGATCCCCAGTCCTGAGCTGGTGGGGCATGAAGAGTGGACAATATCTTTGCAGACTGAGAAAGATGGCAGGAGCTTCCATCCCAGAGGGGAAGGGCTGAATCCAGGAGATGTTTCTGTGCTCACGACCCTTCTATTCCCTTGCACTCTCATATTTATTGCAGCCTGAATCTCACACCAACACTAGAAGACTGGCCTTAGAAAGAAAGGCTTTTTATAGATTTGAAAAAAGAAGAGAAAACAAGTCTATACCTTTAGATGAGTGCCGGCTGACAACACTCCTACCCACATAGATGCACACACAGGCAGTAAAGGCTAAAGAAATTCTCCACTGGCCAAAGGCTCTAAACACACACACACACACACACACACACACACACACACATATCCTTCACAGGAATGTCTCACAGAGTCCCCAGTGAGAATGCTAATTCTTGGAGGACAGAGAGGTAAGGGATCAACACGATCAGGAAAAGAATAATACATTTTCCCAACTTTGCCACCGTAGAACACACAAGTCACACAATACTTGTCTCATATGGGAGTTTCCATTCTCATGCTCACTTACTTTTATGGGACAGGAATCTTAAAATTGATCCAGGTATGACAATTCTCCAAAATCCATCCAAGCACATTTAATCCAGGGCATGAGAGGGTCTTAAACACACGGACTCACAAGTACTCAGAGAGACTTCAGTCTTTGCCTGGGTTACCAGGATCCCAATGCAACCCCAATGAGCTTCCACAGACTTTCTCTTTCTCTTTTCTTTTTAAAAAGTTTTTATTGATTTCAGAGAAGGAGAGGGAGAGATAGAAACATCAATGGTGAGAGAGAATCATTGAAACACTGCCCCCTGGACACTCCACACTGGTGTTTGAGCTGGCAACCCAGGCATGTGCCATGGGGGGGGGGGGCAGGGAGGAAAACCAAACCATGACCTCCTGGACCATGCTGGCCGGGCTCTCTTCTTTTCCATCACCCTCTTCTGGGGCTTTAGTGCCGGCCCCTTTGTGCGTGGAAAGATTCACTCATTTGATTATGTGTGGGTTTGAGTGAAGAAGCGGAGGGCCCCTCAGAGAACTCTAGACTCTCTCTGCCCGAGTGTCCAACTTCCACTGTGTGTACATTGCATGTTGTGGGACTGCTCAATGCATCTTCAAGTTAAAAAAGTTGGGGGACCATATCAAGAGAGCCCCAGGCCTCTTATCTATTCATTTCCTTTTTCTGATCAAGCATACATTTAATGTTCAACTCTTCTTTAAAAATATATTTTATTGATTTTTTTTTTCAGAGAGGAAGGGAGAAGAGTAGAGAGCCAGAAACACTGATCAGTTGCCTCCTGCACACCCTCTACCGGGGATGTGCCTGAAACCAAGGTACATGCCCTTGACTGGAATTGAACCTGGGACACTTGAATCTGGAGGTTGATGCTTTATCCACTGGGCCAAATCGGCCAGGACCCTCTTCAACTCTTTTCTTCTCAAGAGAGACTGCTTTTTTGGGAAAGGTTAGGGTGGTGGATAGGAAAAGAAAGGGGAGATGGAATTAAAAATTCACTTACACCCCCTAAATCTCTACTTCCCAGCATGATTTTTTATAGTTAACCCAGAGTTAAAATGCGGTTGAATGGGACTGGTGCCACATCAGTAGCAAAGCCTCCAGAGATGGTGAATTCTTCAGGCCCTTTGTCTCTCAGACTCCGTGTGCGTGCATGTGTGTGTTTCATCCTCAGAAACATTTATTTATTTCAATAAAATATTAAAAAAAAACTTCAGCCAACAGGTAAAGGGAGACCAGAGAACTCTGATTTCCAATTCAATGCCTCCAGTCTTTCTGTGTCTCAGGAGAGAAAGAATGTTATACATAAAAATTGCCGCAGTAAAGATTTAATCCAAGATAACATTGTTTTAGGCTATGTTGCTTTTTAAAAGTCTCCTAACCTGACAATTTAACAATCTCATTAACTCTGCCAGATAGGGAGATAGGCATGACAGAAAAAAAAAAAAGAAAGAAAGAAAAAGAAATGACTGGCAGAGTCTATAGGGCTCCAGATTGCTTGAAGGATTCCAGGAATGCTGGAGAATAAAAGTGGGGTTGGTTTAGTGAACTGGGGGCACCAGGGATCCTGGCAGCCTGACCTCTCTACATAGGCCACTGCGGAAAGACAGAGTGCAGCCTGGGAACACGGAGCAGGGCGGCGTGGCAGTTTGGATGACCTCTCCCTCGTCTCAGCCCTGAACTGGCTGTAGGGATTTGGGACAGTAAGGCCTCAGGTTAGCTTCCCACTGCTGCCACTGCAGCATTCAGCTCCAGCACCCAAATGCAGACTTGAGACCCAACTACTAACTGAAATAAATAGCAAGTATTTTTCTCACTCACCTGCTCCCAGGCCTTTTCAGTTGCTGATTACATCCTTCTCTCCATCAGGATGGAAAGATCGCTTCTCCTGTCTAGATAGTTTCAACCACCCAATGTTTAAAAAAAAAAAAAAGTTAAATATGAGTCAGGGATCTTCCCAGCTGGAGTGATGGCTACACTCTTCTAATGCCCATTCTGGCTGAGTCAGGGCACCAGAAACTTCTCTGAAGAACCACTAGAAAGAAGAGGCTTCAAAAGACGTTGAGCAATAAAATCAAGGCCCAAAAAAAGATTTTATTTTAAAAACAGGTTTGTGGGTTTTTCTTTTTGCATTCAATTCAATACATGGTCATTCAGACATCACAATACTATATACAGATACACAACAGTCTTAAAAAGCCTATTTCTGATGAACATCACAAAAGAACACTGTTTTGTAATGCGCCAGTGGGAGAAGGTGAGGGGCCCCCTAGCACCAAGTTGGTCTTGAAGAGGGAAATGTTAGGCAGCGTCTACATTAGCTGGCTTTGTGGGGGCCCTTATTTTGGCTTCCTGGAAGAAAACTGGACAGTTTTCCTCTGGACAGTCAATAAAAGTGAAAGTATGAGGCCTCTGTTCTCAGCTATTGCTGGGATGAAGAAGTGACTGAGAGGGATTCTGCTGGGAGACCCCAATCTCCATCCTATGGTTCGTTCGTTCTTTCTTTCTTTCTTTCTTTTCCTTTTTAAGATAAAAAGATTCTACTTTCTGACAGAGAGAGAGAGAGAGAGAGAGAGAGAGAGAGAGAGAGAGAGAGAGAAGGAGGAAGAAGAAGAAGAAGAAGAAGAAGAAGAAGAAGAAGAAGAAGAAGAAGAAGAAGAAGAAGGGGGAGGAGGAGGAGGATGAGGATGAGGATGAGGATGAAGAGGAGGAGGAGGAGGAGGAGGAAGAGGAGGAGGAGAAGGATGAAGAGGAGGAGGGGGAGGAGGAGGAGGGAAGAAAAATATTTAGAAGGCTGGTTAAATTTCTGACCTTGGATTCCTGCGTGATGACTGGGAGAGCAGAACAGAGGAGGCAGTGGAGGCAAAGGCAGCTCTGAGAAATTCGGTTTCTTGGTTGAGGGTAGTAGGTGGCTCTTAGGCCAATTCCAGCTTTTGTTGAAACAGAAAGAAAGAAAACCTATGTGCTGCCTGCACTCCAATCACGGTGCCAGATCCCTAATAATTATCATTAATATTAACACGACTTTTAAAATATGCACAGAAAATCTTAATTGAGAATTCTTGCCTAACTAAGGAGTGTGGTAGGGACGGGGAGGAGCTGGAAGGAAATTTTAAGCTCACCAGGTCCCGCACTGAGTTTGAGATGTGCCTCAGGAGGATCTTCTGCCTGCTGGGCAAAGGAGGCGGCAAGAACGGGTAGTTGGGGTTCTCCAATCCTGCTTTGTTTGGAATGATTGGGCTCATCTTGCTCTTCGCTGCCACTTGGCTTTCTTACAAGGAAATGGGAGAGGGGGATGGGGGCGGGCAGCTTTGCTCCCACTGCCCGCCAGGGATCCACCTCCAAAGCTGTTGAGGCCCAGTAGGTCCCATCTAGATGAGGGTGGGGGTTGAGGATGGGGTGGGGAGTAGGGGGCGGCAGGGCGCCCCGCCTTGGATACTCTCTGCCTCCCAGCCACACGTCCTCTTTCTTGTTAACATTAAATATTTGTCTGCACCGGCGAAGGGTCCTTCGGTGAGTTTGGTTATGGTACAAAGCCGCGACATAAATAGAGGGGGAAGGTGGCCCCGTGGGTGGTCAGGTGGAGTGGAGATGAGGCGCTTTCGATTTGCTGACCACCTTCTTCTCTTTGACTCGACGGTTCTGGAACCAGATGGTGACCTGGCGCTCGGAGAGGTTCGTGGTGGCAGAGATGCGCCGGCGCTTCTCTTTGGTGATGAACTTGCTGGCCGCGTATTCCTTCTCTAACTCCTTCAGCTGCACCTTGGTGTAGGGCACTCGCTTCTTGCGCCCCCGCCGGTAGCTGCTCACCTCAGGCTGCAGGGGAACCACGTCTAAGGGAGGAGAGAAGGCAGGCGGGCAGCTAGTGAGTCTCGTGGCTGGACCCTGGACTGGGCTGCGGGCATCGGAGACCGCACCGCAAACTGGGCGCAAAGTTCTGGCAGGGACTCAAAGGGGCCAGCGAACTGCCCCCAAATCAATCTTTTGCGTTTCTATCAGCAAGGCCACGACTGTGGTATTTTTCTCTGGTTCAAACTTTAAAGGATGGGGCACAAAATACTCAGTAATCAAGATAAATAATGCTTGAATATAATGCTTTCAAAATATCAAAATGAGTGTAAAATATTCATGATGAACAAAATACCAATTTTTTAAATAAACTGTTTTAAATAAAAACAGTATTACTGATTTCCCTTTTGTCTGAGGCTTCATTATGGCTCGGCACAGCAATCTCTGTGTCACGGAAGTCTGTGTCCCTAGACTCTGTGCCTTTAGAGGGGTTCCTTCAAATTTCACTCTGGTCTGCAGGCCTTCCTGCAGTTAAATCATTTGGGCAGCCGTCAGCTCATCCTCTGCTCCAGGATGAGAGGAAGGTGTTCTATTGTAGGTATGAGGAAGGACATGGCGGGTAGGGAGATAGCTTCCCTCGGCACAGACCACTAAGTGGCTGCTCACGGCTCTGGTCCCTGGCTGTGCACTAGGAGTCGGATGCCTGCACCACTAGATAGAACAGTCCAGGTGACACCAGCCCGCGTGGGAGCCTTTCAGTGTAGGAGTTCAATTTTGTGAGCCACTTAGCAACATCCAAGGTAGGAGGCCCTGGTCCTGAGATGTAGAGAATCAGTCCTTGGAAGTAAAGGGTCCACGCCCCAGGGTCTGTCCACCAGAGAAGGCACCAGGAGAGCCCTTATTGGGGTAAAAATCAGCTATTCACTTAAGTCTATAAAAAGAACCCAGTGTCCCCCTGTCCCACCAAAACAGCAAATTCTGCTCTGTTCCAATCCCCTCCTCTCCATTCTTCCAAAGCCCGGGAAATAATCTCTTCATCCGATGCAGGAATCTTACGCCTAAATCCTAAATACCTTGTCATGCTAACCACTAGTAGTTCAGTTTCTTTATACCCTTCCCTAGTCTCTCTGAAAATTTCACTGGAAAAAAAAAAGTCGCATATCCCCCCTTCCACTCCACCCTCATCTCTGTCAATAAAAAGATCACAGCCATACTTTCAAGGGGAAGTGGGAAAGTAGGGAGATTATCTAAATAAATAGCTCTCTAATTTTTAAAATGTAATTATTAGACTTCTTCAGGAAGAAGCTAGTAAGAAGCCAGACTACTGGGGGTTTCTCCTTCATTCTCTACCCTTTAAAAGTGTAGAAACAGTCAGGAATGAAAACACAAGGCTCTTCCTGAAATGCTGTTCTCACCCACCCTCATACAACTGCCCTCTACCCATTCCCATGGGGTCTGCGCCCTCCCAGGGACCCTTGTCTATAGAGGCTGGGGAGAGATGTCTCCTGAGGAAAAGTGCTCAGGAAGAATATGGGAGAGGGGGGTTCCAATGGCCTGGTTTGGCTGTCTTCGTGATGACAATTTCTCAGGAAAATTGTTGGATTTGTCACTTGTCTCTGCCTATGTATGAATAGGCCAAGGTTTTATAAAAATCTGAAAAACAAAACAACTTAACTTTAACAGAGAAGATACTTTAGGTTAAAAGTGATTTTTTGTACAAGATCATTTAAAAAAAAAAACTTCTCAGTTTTCAAGTTGTTTTTTACTCTTAGAAATATAACTATGATTCAAGGAATTGATAATTCCGGGACAAGAATAATACAGAGAAGGTAAGTAATAATATCATGAGGACATCCTGAGGTTTTCCTTTTGTTTGTTTTAATCCCCAGGACATTTTTCTCCAGGATTATTTTATTAAACTAAGTTACAGGATGAGAATTTGAGGCTCTCGACTGGGTAAAATAACTTGTGGCAGAGCCAGATTTTAAACCCAGATTTTTGGACTCAACATAATGACACAGTGAGTTCTCAAATGGAAATAAGCCACCTGGTACAATTCAGCTTAAAAAAAAAAATCTCCTTTTCAAAAATAAAATAATAAAATAAAATACCTTCTTTTCCCTGGGGAGAAAAATGGAATAAAAGTGGTATTTGATTCCTGAAGTAACCAAATAATTGTCTTCTTGTTGTTGTTTATCCCCTCACTTTCTAAATGCTCACAACTACCTACCCAGTTTTGGGTCCCCTAACCCCAACTCTAATTTTCCAGTGAGGTTTAATCAATGCAACCCTAAAAATCAGTTTGAAAAAAAAACAACAACTAATTGATCTAAACCAGTAGTCAGCAAACTCTTTAGTCAACAGATGAACTTGCTGTTGTTGAACAGAGCCAAATATCAACAGTACAATGATTGAAATTCCTTTTGAGAGCCAAATTTTTTATACTTAAACTTCTTCTAAGGCCACTTCTTCAAAATAGATTCGCCCAGGCCATGGTATTTTGTGGAAGAGCCACACTCAAGGGGCCAAAGAGCTGCATGTGGCTCATGAGCCGCAGTTTGCCGACCACGAATCTAAACTACCTATTTTTCTCTGTAGACTACCAGGATTGATTTAGCTAAGTTTTGCATGGGTCAGACTAAACTGCTGGGGCTTTTTTTTTTAAGGCCTCCTGGGGAAATACTTTCCATTTTGAGTACCCACAGAAGCCCCCCTTCATTGTCTGTTGTCTTGTCTGAAAAGGAAGTGGGATCTACAGATGTGGGAACATCTGGGGCTTACACCTGGAATACTGCCTAAAGTAAGTAGGGGAGATGGCTAATTAATATTACAACCAACCCTTTCCTAGTCTCTCTCCAGAGCATACACGCACCCAAACCACTTCATACCTGGGAATCCAATGGACACCTTTGAGGAGCGAATAAAAATCAGATCAATGCTCAATCATAGCTTTCTCTTGGAGCTCCTTGTACAGGTTTTCTATTGCTCCCTCGCTATTGCCCACTCACTGCCACAACAGGGCTTTGCAGAGGATGCCTTGCCCAGCCGGAAATCCTAGCTGCTCTTCTTAACCAAAATCCAAAGGCTTGTCAGTAGGTACTCCAGCATGGCCCAAAGAACCACAGAATGTTTTTCTCTTTCTCTCTCTCCCCTACTCCTGCCTATCTGTCTCTTCCCATCTTTTCTTTGCTGATTCTCCCTCAGAATTTCTGCCTCTCTCTGAAAAAAAAAAAAAAAGAAAAAAAAAAAAGGAGTCTACACTCACCATTGGAAGGAGAGAGAGACAGAGAGAGAGAGAGAGACAGAGAGAGAGAATAATGAAGCAAGGGTCTATATAATTGGGGAAAAGGAAGAAGCCACAACACATCTTGGCCCTAATTATTTGGATCTTTCTGAACAATTGCTCCATCTCCCACACCAGCTCAGCCTGCCATAGTTGAGGTTTCTCAGAGCCAGAGGCACTGAAGAGAGACAGTAGTGTTTATGCCTAGATGCTGTGGAACAAACCACAATTGCATAGACAGAGTTATCTGGAAATCTCACTGCTTCTAAAGGATCTCTGTGTGGGCAGAAAGATGGAAGGTGTCTGAAGAGCATTTCTTTTTCATCTGCCTCTTGCCTGGACCTCTGCACTCACTTGATACACCAGCCTGATTCTATTTCCACACAGGGAGTGTTTGAGCACATAGCTGCTGAGACACACTGGGTTTTATATCCATTTCCATACTGTAATTTGCATGCCATAATTTGCAAGTGTATTAAATCTCAGTTGGGCTATATCTTTTTTATTTCAAAGCTATTTTTCTCTAGGAGGCTGTGATCACGAAGTGTTTATTTCTAGCATATTTTTCCCCTCTGGGAATCTTTTGAATGTATTTTTTATTCAAAGATATTTCTGAGCTTCTCTTCAATCCTTCACCCCCACTCCACTCCACAAGCATACACGAGGAAGCCAGAGAAACGCCTCTTCACATCTTCACGTGAAACCCATCACCTACTGCTCCAGACCTGCACTTCTGCCCGGAGTGGGCCTGGTGGGCACATGTCCCCCTGCCTTTGGCCCTTCAGTATGGCCTATTGGCTCCACCTGCTCCAAGAATTCCTGCTAGATACCCAGTTTCTAAGGACCTTTCCATTTGGGAGAATTGGGGGATTGATTCATGTGAATTGCCTCTATTCTAGAAATATATTAGTGTATGTTTCATATGAGGTGGTTAATAACACAAATGTTATTATGTAAAAATATTATAGCCAATGCCAAATAGGTAATGCATGATACCATGTACTAAAATTCTATCAACCTCAAATCTTCTTGCAACCAGCAATGGGGTGCCTAGGGTGGGTTCCACCGGGTATTCGGTTGTATGTTATACTGAATATTCTCATAATATTTACAAGAATGTTATTTGCTACACTTTCTAACATAATTCAGTGATATTTTCACCACCTGCCCTTTCCCCAGTCCTGGATAAAGAGGAATTTCAGGCCCCCTCTGAAGAGATCTTCAGTCTATATTTTCCAATGAAAATGTCCCTAGGCCCATATGCAGAACTGGGGGACCTCTGGGCAGGATGGGGAGACATATGTGGCTGCTCTGGGCCCCACTGGACCCTTGTGGGCATCAGAAGGGAGCCAGTCAGCCCTCTCTCCCTGAGCTTATAGCCCGAGCAGACTGAAGCTCTGGATTTGTCAGACCCCAAATCCCGATTTCTCAGTGCAGTGCTGAATTCCCAGACAGTTTTCAGGAATCCGAGACTGTTCTTTCCCTGCTTGGGTAGGTTGCAAAAGCCCCTCCTGTTTAGGGAAAGGAATAGGGCAATGCGAGGAATAGGGCAACGATGAATTCCACCGTTCATACCCCACACATAGCCAGACAAAACTGAGGGTTCTCAGCCTGGGCCCAGATCCCTCCAGAACAGGTCTTCCTCCTCTATACCTCTCACCCTCACCACCTTCTTTCTGTGTTTGAGGCATGGAATACACTTGGAGTTAACCTTGGAAACACCCACATTATTTGACCTCAGTATACCCAGAGAGGAAAATAAAATTTATATCTAAGGAGAGGGACTCAAACTTCCTTCTCTTTACACCTTCTCAAGAGAGATTTTAGCTCTGGTCCTTTAACAATCGGGAAATTCATAGACAATTTTTTTTAATACATAAAAACGGGGGGAAATGTAGTATCCTACATTTCTGTAGACAGTGACAAATTGGACCCATTTAAAACACACACACACACTCACACACACACACATACACACACACACTGCTAGTTCCTGGACGATCTTGGAAATTCTGGCAAAGAAAATGGGGGTTCCTATCCCCCCTCCCCGCCCCAGTTATTGGGTGGGTTGAGGGTTTGGAGCTGGATTGTGGATTCCTGGGTACTCTAGGCCCACCCCACCCCCATTCTTAGCCGGAAGAGGGCTTCGCCGGCACCGAGCCACGCGTGAGCCTGGAGCCGGCTGGGGGAGGAGGAGGCGGCGAGCTACCGACTGGAGCGCAGCCGGCCGCCCGGCGCACGGGCGCCTGTGATTGCTTCACTCTCAGCCAGGCAGCTTCGGGGAACGTGTCGGAGCAGATTTCTTCCCCGGAGCATTCCTCAGCGCGGCTCGCCGGGCCAGCTCCATCGGCAGCCCAGCGCAGCCGGCGCGCCGGGGCCAGACGGCGGGGGTGGCTGGGGCGCGGAGCCCGGGGGCAGGCGGGGCAGGGAGGGTCCCTGGCGGCAGCCGCGGCCATCGGGCCCCATCCTTACCTGGGAAGGGAGACTTCCAGAGGTGGGCGGACTGCGACTGCTCTTTGGAACAGTACACCTGACTGTCCCAGCCGTTGGAGAGCGCCCAGTGCTGGTAGCCTTCGACAGGGATGAGCGCATCGTGACGCGGCTCCGGGTGCCCGCTGATCCCGGGCACCACCGACACGTCCAGGTAGCCGGGCATCGCCTGGTAGGAGCTGGCGAAACTGGGATAGAAGGCGAACTCCTTGGCCCTGGAGGACAGGTCGTCGGCGGGCAGGGCGCCCGACGGCTCCGGGTACTTGTCGCCCGGGTGGTAGGAGCAGGGCTTTTGCTGCAGGTTCACGTTGTGCGACAGGCGGCAGCCGTAGTAGCTGCCGCCGAACGGGTAGCCGTAGCCCAGGGTAGCGCTGGACGAGGTGGGGGGCGCGGGCGGCGGGGCGCACTGCCGCGCCGCCTCCGGGGCCGGGATGTCCGTGTAGACCGCACCCTGAGGGGCCCCCAGGGGAGCCGGCGGGCGGCCCAGCACGGGGTGCGGGAGCAGGTCGCGGCAGTGGCTGGCCGGGCAGCTGCTGCCCAGCCCGTCCATGCTCGGGGTTTTGCCGGGGCTCGCTCCGCTGCAGCCGCCCCCCGCTGCGCCCGCGCCGCCGCCGCCCCCGCCGCCGCCGCCGCCGCTCTCCGCCGCGCTGTCCTCATAGACGTACATAAGGCTCTCCGGCCAGCGCGGATGCAGGAGCAGCGAAGTCGTCATGACATGATCTGCTCGAGCTTTTTAAAAACTCCACTTGCCAGAGGCAGCGAGCTGGGGAGACACCTCACTCTCTTTTCCCCTCCCCCATCCCTCCTCCCGTCCCTCCCCACCCCTCTCCTCCTCCTCCTCCCGGCGTTGCCACCTCCCTCCCCCCCTGGTTCCTTCTACGCATGCGGGGACGCTTCATTAAGAAATCCGCCGGCTGCCGCCCGCCTCCCCTCCACACCCCTCCGGCGCCCACGTGACTCAGCCGGCGCCTAGCGAGCCGGGCCCGGAGTCTAGGAGTTCCCACCCCTCCAGAAGGGGCGGGGCAAGGTGGAAAGGCTCTACGTGGATTGGCTGGCAGGAGGGGCAAAGAGGAGGGAGCTGGGAGATTTAAAGGGACAGGGCAACGCCCCTGGCAGGCCCAGGGGAGGGAGAATGAGGAGGGGGGCAGGGAGGCTGAATTTGGCCGACGCAAAGGGGTCTGGAGAGACGAGGTCTATTCCTGGGCGTCTCCTGCTAGGCATAGGATGGATGTGGGGGAGACAAATCCCACCCCCCAAAAGATCGCTGTGAGTGGATTGGAACTTGGGAGCTAGGGGTGAGGGAGAAAACGGATTTTTGTTTTCTTAATAAATGAAGAATCTAGAAAGCAGGCGTCAGGGCGCGGGGGTGGTGGCTGGGGGAGGGGGGCAGAGTGTGGGGAGTCCGGCTGTGGCCCAGGCTGACACCCCTGAAACTCACTAGGTCCCGAAACCGGGCAGGAAGAGAGACTTTGATGACCAGATGGCGTTTCCATTTCCAGCTTTCAGCCACTTACCCTAAAGCCCCAGCTTTCTGAGAGGGACTCCTGGTCCCTAAGTCTTTCTCAAGCGGAGCCAACAGTGCTGGAAGGATGTGATGCCCCCCCCTCCCGCCCCTGCACACAGATCACCGCACACAGTGCTCTCAGTGAAATATGGAGAGAGAATAAAAGGAGGGACATGGGAAATTGGGGCAATAGAATAGGCTGATATTTCAATATACAATAGAAATAAAAAAGCTTCATAGTGAGATATTTCAAAGAAAAGGGAGTGGAGGGGAGCAAGGATTAGGTCTAGGAAAGCTAAAGAAGCCCTAGATGTGAATAAGAACACTCCTGTTCTCATATCTGTGGACAAAAGAAAACTTGAAATGAGGGAGAGAAGGCCCAGGAGGACGGACCTCAGCCGGGTGGCCAGCCCTGGGCCGTTAGGCTGGTGAGGGCCAGTGGGCCAAGCAGAGCCGGGATCAGAGCAGTTTTAGCTCCCAGGGCTTTCTGGGGGTCATTCCCTTAGAGTGTGAATTGCTTTCATGCCTTAAAATTATCTCATATTTCAAAGGACAAATTAACTCCAACTTACGGTAAAGCCCCCCCTTCTTCCCTCCCAATCTCCCCACTTATGTGCCTTCCTATGCCCGATGCGATGCCTTCACAGAGTCAACTCTTTCCAGGGCCCATTTCCGTGGGATTGAGCCAACTTCCCTATCAGCACAGGGCCTTCCTGAGGACAGATCATAAAGAAGGGGGGGGGGGTAAGAGGAGAGAGGGGCTGAAGCATCTCCCTCTTTTCTGCCCCTGGACACCGTTTACAAGCGGGTACTCCTGTCCAGGCAGCCCACAGTCACCCCAGGCTAAGCCAGACCCGCTGGACCCCGCCAGCCCCAGGAGCAAATGGCCAGGTCTATCCGGAGATCCAGCCCACGCAGTCTCCCTTCTCCCTGTAGGGGGAAGGTGGTGTTGAAGATGGAGAGCATGGACATCGTCCTGGCAGGCTGAGTTAGGATAAGAAACTAAGCTTTGTCCGTGTGATCAACATCCTTAGGTTTTGGCAATCAGGCCGGGCTGGCAGTAGGAAGGACATACAACAGCAGCGGGCTAGCAGGAGCGGTGATGATGGTAGAAGGACAGATGAGCCAAAGTGAAGGTGGGTCTTTCTGGGAGCCAGCTCCTGGCTGGGAAACTGGCTTCCTTGCCTCAGGAGGGAGTCCAAGGTCAAGGTGAAATGAGGAGCGTAAACTTGGCCTGGCCAGTCTAGACTGGCTCTTGTGACCTTAGCCCCCTGTCTGCCTGTGGCCTGGCTGGTGGGGGTAGATGAGTGGGGAGGTTTTGGGTGAGTTTCCAGCCAAGAGGGGAGAGGCTTCCCCTCCCGTGATGTGCGGGATCTGTGAGGAGGGGAGAACCCAGGCGACAAGGACTGGGCTCTGTGGGGCCACGAGGACAAACAAAGGGCCCGACATGCCCACTCCAATCCTGGGGCTCCCTCCCGGGTACACGAGTGCTTTAGCCCAGTGCTAGGGGCGTATTCATGGGGCCAGACCCCAGAGATGTCCCCCAGCTTCTGGGAGTAGGGGGCAGGACCGCGGGAAAGATCTGAGTGCAGGGCTGCCCAGCAATAAATAAAATTAATAGTATGTTCTTTTCCAGGTTTATATAAGGACATTAACTATTCCTATTGCAGTGAGATATAGATTTAATTAACCCGGCCACTTTACTATTCCATTTATTAGAGGCAATGTGCGGCCAAAATGTAGCGACAAGAGGAAAAAGCTGGAACCCACGTCCCCTGTCCCCTCCGTCAGGAAGACCAGTCTGAGATGCAGGTCCCCCGGAGACTAGGGGAAGCGAGAAGGCTGGAGGGGAAAGTTCAGGGCTGAGGGAGTTAAAAGTGGCCGGTGGGGTGTCCTCCTGCTCCTTCTTTCGGTTCCCCAACACCGTCCGCCTGAAACTGCGGCTCCGCGGCTGGGGCACGCCGAGCGGGCGGCGGGCGGCGGCGATGCCAGAGCCCGGGGCGGGCGGCGGAGAGCAAAGCGTTGTTGGTTAATTAACTTTAAGCCTGGGGTCGCTTCTCCCTCCTCCCCCGAAAAAAATGTGGATCTCGCTGAGACACAAATAAAACCAAATTAAACACTCCGGGAGAATATGCACCACTGGAAACGTAGTAATTACATCTCTGAGGCGGCGATCCCGCCCTAGAAAGCCGGTGCCGAGCGCTCGGCTCCGCGCTCACCGCGCCTCCCCCGACTCGTCCACACCCGCCCCGCCGCCGGGGTGCACAGCCTGGGAGAGGGACGAAGTTTGCAGCACGTCCAGACGAATGGAAAGGAGTGTGGCTGCCCGGTCTCTAGACGTGCTGCATCGCACTAAAGAAAGATGGAAAACGGCCCTGCAGCCCGGGCTGGTCGGAAAGCCGAGCTCCGCTCTGGGCTCTTTTTACAAAGGGACATTTGCAAGGGCGAGGCTCCGGAGCCACTCTGCCCTCAGCTGCTTCTGCGGACTGAGGCCCCGGCTCGGCTCAACTCTGAAATTCTTTTTCTCAGAGGCGATATCCTTCGTGCCTCCTCAAGGGACCTTGGGGACTGTGCAGGGTGCATGCATGCTCTGGCACATGCCCTTGGAGGCACAGCCCAGATGTGCTTATAAAGCCCTCTGCTGAAACCTTCTACTTCGAATAAAGATCTCTGCGCATCTATTCATCTCCGTGTTCGCACTTAATTTACACGCTCATCTTCTACTTAGGCATCCCAAAGGAACATACTAGGCAAACGAGGAGGCAGATGCCCGTGTCTTTCTGAAGTGGGTGGAATACCTGGCTCACTGTGTTAAAGGCAGAGCCGGAGGTGGCAGTTCGTGGCATTGGCAGCAAGAGGGTGCAGGACTGAGGCGTACACTGGGGTGTAACTTGCGTGCCAGACAGGCTGGGGAGAAGGATGAGAGAAATGAGTGTGGTGTGCCCCCTTATTCAACACCCAGATTGTCTTCTCTGAAAATTAAGCATTAATTGATTTCTTCCTTCTTTTGTTCCCTCCATATTCCAGAGGGAAGGAAAAAAAAAAAAAAAGAGCTCCAAGCGCTGAAGCTCCTGGCCCCCTCTCCCCCCACCTTTTTATGGGAGAAAAAGTCCCGTTATAAAAAGAGGGAGTGGGTTGAGGCTGCAGGAAAACAAAGAGCTCACCACCATGGGGTCTGGATTCTGGGCCCTGGACTTGGGACTTTGGTGGGTGGGCAAGGATTTGGAGGGTTCCTTTCCTGCCCAGGGTTCAGGCTGCATGATAGAAGAGGAAACTTATGGAGGAGAAGGGCCATCAGGCTTGAACTATCCAGGAAAGAAAGGAATTTTTAAGGTGGAGAGGCCACTTATAGGAATGGGTTAGGGGTCCAGGGAAAGCACCCCGAGAAGAGAGTATGTCTGAGTTAGGAGGAGCCTTCCACACACTCGGAGAAAATTCCTGGTGAGTTGCAAAGGGTGGTGTTGTTGGGGAAGGGAAAAAAGTGGTGGATCCTGGCCGGGGCTCCCTGGCCCTGCCAAGCCTTCTCCTGGCCTCTTTCCCTCCACCTCTGCGGGCTCCAGGAGGTTGCAGCCGCCCATGGAGCTTGCAGACACAGATGCCACCTCCCAGGTCCTAGGTCCGCCTGGAACCTGCTCTACTTTACTGTCTCCACGCCCACAGCCTGGCCTCAGAGAAGAGCCACCCAGGACTCGCCTCCCCATCTGGGGTCTGGCCTCCTGACTAGTGGCCATCCTGTTGTCTTCCACATTTATTGTTTTCCCTCCTGGGGCCCCCAGTCCGAGGGAAAATGGGGCAAGGATGGCTGAGGCACCACTTTTCTCCTCGTTTCAGTGTTTTCTGCTCTCAAACCCAAACTTGCCTTCCTCCAGGCCTATTCCTCCCCTCTTTCAGACATTAAAGAAATCCATCCCTCCTGCTGCCCACTTAGGGTTTACAGTCTGGGGAGCCCCACCAAACTGTCCTTTTTGGTTCTGCAGGCACCTACATAGGAGTCCTGCTTTAGGCTCTTATCACCAGTCTTTTCTTGGATTCTCCTCCGGCCTGCCCCTAATGGTAGACCCTGCCTGGTGGTACACTGGGTTTGGGCAGGGCGATCAGGTGACCCCTTCCATGGAGAACTCTCAGGAACCTCCAGTGGCTGCCAGGGTTCCTACCCAACCCTCTTTCTTCCACTGCTTCCCAGCCCCTGCCAAGCTCATCACAGAGCTCCTTCCCCACCCTCCCATTCCCTCCTTCCCAGGCCACCTCTTTCTAACCCTCACTCGCCTGCTCCCCCCCCCTT